TGCTCCTCTTACCTATGTTGTTATAAACAAGCCCGTTGCTGGTGTGAGCACAAATGAATAACTGCTATGGGCATTAAAGTGCACTCATACAACTGTGGTGGCCTGCACTTAGGGCAGAGTGCAGATGTTAGAGCTTGCCGTATTGTTGTCGACCAGTTGTTGCAGCACTGTGACATACTGTGCTTACAAGAAATATTTTTAGCCAAGCAGGACTTAGACGGTCTAAACTCCATCAACGACAATTTCCTTGGTGCTGGAAAGTCAACTACTGACTTCAGTTTGGGAATTAAAAGAAGAAGGATACCAGGAGGCGTGGCTATCCTGTGAAAAAGAGTCTGGACTCATTGATAAATGTTGTTAGACTTGGTGTGGACTGGTGTATTGCAGTTAAAATGAAACAGAATGGCAAAGATTTGATCATTTTAAATGTGTATGCTCCATATGAATGCATACAGAATGAGGATGAATATTTAAATAAGCTTTCTTTTATTAGCTCCTTTTTACAAAATGAAACATCTACTACTGTCTATGTAATTGGTGATTTGAATGCAGATAACTCTGCTAAAAACTCTGCTTTTGCTAAGCATCTGATCAATTTTTGTACCAATTTTCATTTAAAATTATCCAGTAGAGAGCTCCTGCCAGTGGAGAGCTACACATATATAAGTGAGGCCTGGCATACCACGTCCTGGTTGGACCATTGCATCTCTACAGCAGATGCTCATGCTGCTCTGACACACATGAATATCTTATACAATATGTCCAGTATGGATCATATCCCTTTTGAAGTCATAATTAGATTTGATTATACAGTGGGGCAAAAAAGTATTTAGTCAGCCACCAATTGTGCAAGTTCTCCCACTTAAAATGATGACAGAGGTCAGTAATTTACATCATAGGTACACTTCAACTGTGAGAGACAGAATGTGAAAAAAAAATCCATGAATTCACATGGCAGGATTTTTAAAGAATTTATTTGTAAATCAGGGTGGAAAATAAGTATTTGGTCAATAACAAAAATTTAACTCAATACTTTGTAACATAACCTTTGTTGGCAATAACAGAGGTCAAACGATTACTATAGGTCTTTACCAGGTTTGCACACACAGTAGCTGGTATTTTGGCCCATTCCTCCATGCAGATCTTCTCGAGAGCAGTGATGTTTTGGGGCTGTCGCCGAGCAACACAGACTTTCAACTCCCTCCACAGATTTTCTATGGGGTTGAGGTCTGGAGACTAGCTAGGCCACTCCAGGACTTTCAAATGCTTCTTACGGAGCCACTCCTTTGTTACCCGGGCGGTGTGTTTGAGATCATTGTCGTGTTGGAAGACCCAGCTACGTTTCATCTTCAAAGCTCTCACTGATTGAAGGAGGTTTCGGCTCAGAATCTCACGATACATGGCCCCATTCATTCTTTCCTTAACACGGATCAGTCGTCCTGTCCCCTTAGCAGAAAAACAGCCCCAAAGCATGATGTTCCCACCCCCATGCTTCACAGTAGGTATGGTGTTCTTGGGATGCAACTCAGTATTCTTCTTCCTCCAAACACGACGAGTTGAATTTATACCAAAAAGTTCTGCTTTGGTTTCATCTGACCACATGACATTCTCCCAATCCTCTGCTGTATCATCCATGTGCTCTCTGGCAAACTTCAGACAGGCCTGGACATGCACTGGCTTCAGCAGCGGAACACGTCTGGCACTGCAGGATTTCATTCCCTGCCGTTGTAGTGTGTTACTGATGGTGACCTTTGTTACTGTGGTCCCAGCTCTCTGCAGGTCATTCACCAGGTCCCCCGTGTGGTTCTGGGATTCTTGCTCACCGTTCTCATGATCATTTTGACCCCACGGGATGAGATCTTGCGTGGAGCCCCAGATCGAGGGAGATTATCAGTGGTCTTGTATGTCTTCCATTTTCTGATAATTGCTCCCACAGTTGATTTTTTCACACCAAGCTGCTTGCCTATTGTAGATTCACTCTTCCCAGTCTGGTGCAGGTCTACAATTCTTTTCCTGGTGTCCTTCGAAAGCTCTTTGGTCTTGGCCATAGTGGAGTTTGGAGTCTGACTGTTTGAGGCTGTGGACAGGTGTCTTTTATACAGATAATGAGTTCAAAAAGGTGCCATTAATATAGGTAACGAGTAGAGGACAGAAAAGCTTCTTAAAGAAGACGTTACAGGTCTGTGAGAGCCAGAGATTTTCCTTGTTTGAAGTGACCAAATACTTATTTTCCACCCTGATTTACAAATAAATTCTTTAAAAATCCTGCCATGTGAATTCATGGATTTTTTTTCACATTCTGTCTCTCACAGTTGAAGTGTACCTATGATGAAAATTACTGACCTCTGTTATCATTTTAAGTGGGAGAACTTGCACAATCGGTGGCTGACTAAATACTTTTTTGCCCCACTGTATACCTGCTACAGGAAATTATGTAAACAGTCCTTTGATTGGTCTTCTCTCTCATCAGAAGATCTGGAGTCCTATTATGATTGCACTGATCAAATGTTATGCAGCATCAAATTAAGAAGAGAAGCAGTTATATGCACAGATGCTAACTGCTCCAACACTGACCACAAAACAGATATAAACTCTATGTACTGTGACATAGTCCAAGCGTTACTTGATGCAAGCCAGTGTTTCACTCAAAGCCAAAAGAGAAGTAAAATTATGCTTGGTTGGAAAACGTGTGTGTCTCAAAGTAATGCTCAAGAAGCCACTACTTCCTGGGCTCTTGCAGGCAAACACAGATATGATCCTATATTTGAGAATAAAAAGCTGACAAATGCAAAATACAAATATGCTATAAGATTCATTATGAAGAATGAGCAAAAAATGAGGGCAGATTCCATGGCTAAGAAACTCTTAGGCAAGAATAACAAACTATTTTGGAAAAAGATAAAAATGATTGCAGAGCTCTGGCTACAGCACTACAGTAAACTGTTTACTTGTGTGCCAAGTGAACCTTTCCAGGTTGATAATGTTGATGATGTAAATACTATTGACACTCAGGAGGTTCATCAAGCAATTAAAAATGTGTTTGTAGGCAAGACTACAGGATTGGATCTGATCTCTGCTGAACATCTTAAATTTGCAAGTGTGAGGTTAGCACCCCTTCTTGCCTTATGCTTCACTGCCTTTATGCTTCATGGTTTTATTCCAGACTCCATGATGAACGTTCTTTTGGTTCCTGTGCTGAAGAACAAATCAGGGACAGTAGGCAGCTCAGATAATTACAGGTCCATTGCTCTTGCAAGCATTCTCTCTAAAGTTTTTGAACAAATACTGCTGACAAGATTGGACAAATTGATAGTGTACTGACAACCAATTTGGATTTAAGCCTAAGCATGGCACTGACGTGCATTTATGCTCTAAAGGAGCTATCAAGTAGCTACAAAAACTCAACTGTTTTTATGTTTTTTAGATGCCTCCAAAGCTTTCGATCGTGTGAACCACTGAAAAATATTTTATAAACTGTGGAAAGCTGGTGTGCCTAAGTACATAGTTAGATGTTTGTCATATTGGTATACAAACCAGACCATGCTGGTCAAGTGGGCCAACTGTGTATCTGCACCTTTTCAGGTCTGTAACGGAGTAAGACAAGGGAGCATCTTAGCACTGGCATTGTTTTCTTTTTATATGAACAATCTGTCTAAACAGTTAATCCAGTGCAGAACTGGCTGTATGGCAGGAGGTACAGTTACAAATTGGCAGGAGGTACAGTAATAAATCATCTGATGTATGCTGATGACATAGTGGTATTTAGCCCAAGTTCAGCTGGTCTTCAAGAGCTTCTTAATGTGTGCTCTGAGTTTGGTGAACAGCATGATGTTGAATTTAATCCTGCTGAAAGTATAATCATAATCTGTCGAATTAAAGAGGACAAATGGATCAGATTTCCTGACTTCAAGGCTATCTGGCTCTATTTTAAGTGTTTCAAATGAAGTGAAAATTCTGGGTCATGTGTTGACAGACAACCTGTCAGATGATGAGGACATTTATCGTCAGTGCCGAATGTTATATGCACAAGCTAATGTACTGTGTTGTAAATTTGGATATTATTCTGTTAACGTCAAACTTAACTTGTGTAGACCTTACTGTACCTCAATGTACACAGCACATTTATGGTGGAACTATAAAACAGCTAGTGTCCAGAGACTACAGGTGGCTTACAACGATGCATTAAGACTTCTGGTAAAAAAAGCCCAGATGGACTAGTGCTAGTGAACTGTTTGTTTCTGCCGGGGTCAGCACATTGAAAGCTGTTTCAAGAAATTTTATGTATAAATTTATATGCTGTCTTAATATGTCCAAGAACAGTGTCATCCTAACTCTGTGTAATACCAGATAGTGGTGTATGCTACACCTCTAACCTATGGAAGCACTGGTAGTATTGTCTCTTGTAGGATACTTACTGTTCTTCTTTGAACAAGTTTGTTGTTTTCTTTTTAATGTCACCTTTGTATATTTTTCTATGTATTTTTTGGACCGTGAGTCTGCAATAAAGGCAACTACTACTACTAACTACTACTATGTAAATTACTCTGCTGTCTTATTTGCTATTTTGTTGTATGATCTGAGGACCCGCTCGAAAATGAGATGACACATCTCAAGCGGTTTCTATCCTCATAAAAATATAAGTTAAAAACATAATAAATAAATATTAAAAGGACCTAATAGCTGTTTGAAAAAGACATCTGTTTACAACTATTCATTTTAAACCATCTGATTTCTCTACATTATCAACATTTTAAGTATTTGTGCTATAAACATTAATTTAAGACTGTGTTAAATAATCAAGATCTCAATTCAAGTCAAAATAACCACAATTATTATTTTTGTCGATATCGAGCAGCCCTAACCCGTATATTTACTTTGTATTGTTATAGATAAAAACCATGATTTGGAGTTTACAATTGTAAAAGCATTTGCCATTTCTGCTTTGACCTTTTTCACACCAATGTACATGAACTTTCTTTATTCAAAACATGACTCCTCACCAACTCTGTAGGCAGAATGCAGGTAGTGCAGGCCCTGTTGGCTGATTGGCTGGCTGTGCTGCTCATCTTCTGTTGGGAAAGCATTGCTCACCAATGCAGCAGTTTGGGGGGAAACAGCAGGCAGGGATGCACCCTGTAAGGCCTGCATGGTTGCCCCAGAATGAATGCTGCTGACTGTAAAACATGACCAACACACACAATTCAAAACAAAACAGTGCAAGCTCAGTTCCTGTACAAGAACACTAAACATTAGAAATGAGTTCTCATAACTGTCCATTTAGAAAAAAAGAGCGTAGTCCTGACCTGCCACAGTCGTGCTAAGAGGAAGGCCTGTTTCAGTGTGGTAGGGATGGACGGCGATCTGCGTCATAGACGGTACAGGGACTGTTGGAAAGGTGACTGCTGTGGCTGCCAGAGGGGTCGGTGGGGGGCCAGCCACTGAAAACGGGTACTGGGTACCAATAAAAGCTGGATGAATCCCCTGTGTACACAGACATTTATACACCTAATTAATCATAGGAAATATAATAAAACTTCTATAGTGTATCTGTTGATTAGGTGATGCCAATTATATATATATATATGCATGTTTAACAGATAACTAGTTCTATTGCCCCGTTTTTCAGGAAATCCCTTTAAATGTTAGGGATGCACTTGTTAGCAGACTTATTTCAGGGATTGAATCTGATTTTCCTCACTCATTTCTATAAACTATCCACGTACAAAAATTACAATGCTAACTTGAAAATCCACTTATTAGGAGTTTTTACGAATATACAGAAGGCAATCTGTCTGCTTTTCTCCTGAGCGTTAAGTCTGCTGTAAGTGTGTACTTGTGTTCACGCGCAAGTGCACACGCGCTCGTTTTGCTTTTATTGTTGGCAGTCTAAGGTGCACCTGTACAGTATTCATGCTGTCCAAACAGCCCCTTGATATGCCACACCTGTGTGTGGGACAGAATACATATGGGAAAGGAAAAGGCCTGATATGGCATTAATTATTTCTTCCCTGGTTATTTCGGAGGTTAATGGATAATTTGCCTCCTTACCAATTAAAGTCATTTAAAAAAGCATTTACTTTAACTTTTGCCATTTGAGTAGTCTGACTATATAACCCTGTAAAATGTTTCAAATGCTCTGTACTTCATCTAACTCAGTTACTTACTATTTTATTATAAGTGGGTTCTGTGAATTTGAAAAGAATGTTTTTAGCTTGTTTCATAAAATGTATGTTATTTTTTTTACCTAATATTTTTTCCATCTCCTGTTTAACCTGCCTAATTTGATCGATTATGGCAGTGTTTTGTCAATTACAGTGGGGCAAAAAAGTATTTAGTCAGCCACCAATTGTGCAAGTTCTCCCACTTAAAATGATGACAGAGGTCAGTAATTTACATCATAGGTACACTTCAACTGTGAGAGACAGAATGTGAAAAAAAAATCCATGAATTCACATGGCAGGATTTTTAAAGAATTTATTTGTAAATCAGGGTGGAAAATAAGTATTTGGTCAATAACAAAAATTCAACTCAATACTTTGTAACATAACCTTTGTTGGCAATAACAGAGGTCAAACGATTACTATAGGTCTTTACCAGGTTTGCACACACAGTAGCTGGTATTTTGGCCCATTCCTCCATGCAGATCTTCTCGAGAGCAGTGATGTTTTGGGGCTGTTGCCGAGCAACACAGACTTTCAACTACCTCCTCAGATTTTCTATGGGGTTGAGGTCTGGAGACTGGCTAGGCCACTCCAGGACTTTCAAATGCTTCTTACGGAGCCACTCCTTTGTTACCCGGGTGGTGTGTTTGGGATCATTGTCGTGTTGGAAGACCCAGCTACGTTTCATCTTCAAAGCTCTCACTGATGGAAGGAGGTTTCGGCTCAGAATCTCACGATACATGGCCCCATTCATTCTTTCCTTAACACGGATCAGTCGTCCTGTCCCCTTAGCAGAAAAACAGCCCCAAAGCATGATGTTCCCACCCCCATGCTTCACAGTAGGTATGGTGTTCTTGGGATGCAACTCAGTATTCTTCTTCCTCCAAACACGACGAGTTGAATTTATACCAAAAAGTTCTGCTTTGGTTTCATCTGACCACATGACATTCTCCCAATCCTCTGCTGTATCATCCATGTGCTCTCTGGCAAACTTCAGACAGGCCTGGACATGCACTGGCTTCAGCAGCGGAACACGTCTGGCACTGCAGGATTTGATTCCCTGCCGTTGTAGTGTGTTACTGATGGTGACCTTTGTTACTGTGGTCCCAGCTCTCTGCAGGTCATTCACCAGGTCCCCCGTGTGGTTCTGGGATTCTTGCTCACCGTTCTCATGATCATTTTGACCCCACGGGATGAGATCTTGCGTGGAGCCCCAGATCGAGGGAGATTATCAGTGGTCTTGTATGTCTTCCATTTTCTGATAATTGCTCCCACAGTTGATTTTTTCACACCAAGCTGCTTGCCTATTGTAGATTCACTCTTCCCAGTCTGGTGCAGGTCTACAATTCTTTTCCTGGTGTCCTTCGAAAGCTCTTTGGTCTTGGCCATAGTGGAGTTTGGAGTCTGACTGTTTGAGGCTGTGGACAGGTGTCTTTTATACAGATAATGAGTTCAAAAAGGTGCCATTAATATAGGTAACGAGTAGAGGACAGAAAAGCTTCTTAAAGAAGACGTTACAGGTCTGTGAGAGCCAGAGATTTTCCTTGTTTGAAGTGACCAAATACTTATTTTCCACCCTGATTTACAAATAAATTCTTTAAATATCCTGCCATGTGAATTCATGGATTTTTTTCACATTCTGTCTCTCACAGTTGAAGTGTACCTATGATGAAAATTACTGACCTCTGTTATCATTTTAAGTGGGAGAACTTGCACAATCGGTGGCTGACTAAATACTTTTTTGCCCCACTGTATATGCAATCATTCTAAGTTTTTTCAACTTGCCTTGTAACTGAAGGAATTCTTTAGCCTTCTTTTTAATATAAGATGCCCTTTCAACAATTTTCCTCTGTAGAACAGCTTAAGCTGCATACTCCACTATACTACGGTTAGTTTCGCCATTATCATTAAGGTAAACTCATTTGTCATTTATTTTATAAAACCACAGTCATTAAAGAGCAAGCCACATCAAAATCAACTTTTTGTTGCTGATAATCTGTACAAATGAGTGTCTGATACTGTTGTAGACAAGTGTAGTAATTATGTTTGCACTTTCTTTAAAAACTCAAAATTCTAGCTGAAAACGTCAGTCTAGCGCCATCTTCAGCTCAAAACTATGCAACTTAGCTATTGTTTAGCATTAGCATTGAGTCTGAGTCCCAACAAAGCTTATTTCCATTTCTGGATAATGGGCTCATGTTGCTCACAGGAAAATTAAGCATTTTGGAAACGTGCCTATAACCATTTCCATTAGAAGGCTTTTCAACGATAGGATTACGAAGATCTTGGGAGAGTCATTTGCTTTTACCCAACATGAAGTCTTTCCTCCATTCCTCCTGGGGTAATGAGCAGTGGCGGATTTAGCAATTTGGGGGCCCAAGACGAACACATACATGGGGCCCTCTTACACAAAATTTTCAACAATCTTATCTTTAACTGGATTTGTGAAACTCTACTCTCTTCTGACATGAGTTATTTTCACTTTTTATTAGTCCTCTTTTTTCCTGTCTTTCTCTCCCTTTGAGTTCCTTCAATATTTGCTCTGCTTTCTTCTTCCTGTCAGTGCTCCTGTGCTTTTGCCTTTCTTTTTTTTCTGCTATTTTCCATTTTGGTCTATGTTTTCCTCCTCTTAAACATTTTCCATTGTCTTTCCTTTTCTGCTTCCTTTTGATGTTTACATTGAAAAACGACATCACTTTCGGAAGTGAAGATAAAACCTTTTTTAAAACAAGCTGCTTCTTTTTCTTATTGGAGCCATTAGGATAACTCCATTTCATGCTTAATGTTTTGACTACTGCTTTGAGTTTGATACGAATGCTCCCGCCTCTCTTCTCTTCTTCTTATTTGTGGTCTTATGGCACTTGGCAAACAACAATTTGGTGCATAACTGCCACCAACTGGATTGAAGTGGAATTATTACCAATCACTTCCTGTTTGTGCATCGGCGTCTTAAAGGAATAGTCCATTTTGGCATTAACAGAGGGGTGCCAGCAGTCAGGGCTAGAAGGACCCCCAACATTAGGGGGGCCCAGGCGGTCGCCGACCTATGCCTAATGGTAAAACCACCACAGGTAATGATATGCCTTTAGAGGCTAAAGCAGCTCACTAAAACAGCTGATATCAATTAGAACTGATGGGGGCAGGGTTTCTCTCTCAATACTGAGAGATCTCCTGGCTTTTTATGTCATTTTGCACCTAGTTATCTTCATGGTTTAATACTTTTTCCCTACGTCTTTTCACTTTACACATAGCTTAATTTATGGACATAAATAATTAGATGTCTGCATGATACTTGAGTAGATTTTGACATGTGGTGAAAATTTTGTGTTAATAGCCCACTTAGAAAGCTCTATACTGACGAAAATGCTGATGTGTTAAATCCCCACTTTATATTGCAAGCACTGATGCTGCAATGACAATAAATGTGTTGGATATCATGCAGGTCTTAATGCTCAATTATTTCTTGTTGGTGGGATGCAATTTTCATGTGATTTTGCACATTATAATTGAAATGTGCTCCACACTCTAGAGTGAACTGGAGGGACATGACAAGGCTAAGTGCATGCTGGCATTACAGGCTCCTCCCTCTTTTACTTTCAGCTTAAATAACATACATTTTTGTCTTTAATCATGAAATATAGTCATTTTTTTCTCACAAATTGACAACATTTTGGCATTATAGAATTTATCTACCTCATTCAAACTTATTTGAAACTATCTCAATATGAACTTTCCATTACATTTTAGAGCTCTGCAAATTTTCAGATGAAATGTGATATAACTATTCAGACTGACATTCCATTGAGTACAAATTCAGCTTTGAAACATATGAGATTGATCTGGGCTAGATTTGTTTAAACAGTTTCTAAAAGTCAGATATGAGATGGCTTCTTCATACAATCTGAATGTAGCTTTAGAAATTGCAGGTTTGCTACTGGGTTTACATTTTTTAAAAACTTGAAGGCAAAGTAGAGGACTAGACAGAGATGGGTTCTGACCTGAGGATATGAAGTTCCAGGCACAGGAAAGACTGCTGGCCGAGACACGTGATGCATCGGGTGCCCCAGGTATTGTGGTGTGCAGACAGTGGGAAGGTGGGCCTGAATGGTTGTGTAGGGATGGAGCCCCTGGCTGTGGTGGTGGGTCATGGCTTGGCCTGACATACCATGGGACTGGTAAATAGTGGAGCCCACAGAGATCACGGGTACAACAGCTGCTGCCGTGACTGAGGATGTAACTGCTGCCACTGCTGAAGACTCCATGTTGGCTACATTCTCAAGGACACCACAAGTGGAATCTTGGAGCCTCCTACTAGAACCACCATTGGCCCCACAGCGCCCAGACATCTCTCTCAGCTGGCTAGAGCCTCCAGCCACTGATTGCTCATACAACCAGTACCATTGATGAGCAACCTCAAACAAAACCTCAGGGTACACTCCTCCACCTTTGGCTGCTTCCTCTACTGCCATGCACGCCTTTTCAAGCATTGTATTGTCCTGCAAGGAGAATGAAGTGGTACAGTACAAGAATGAGTTTCCGAGATTGCCATGTATGGACATTCTTTTCCCAAAAAGTCAATTAACCCTCCCACTGTCTTTATGGGTGACCCCGCGAGGAAAGTTGACCATTGAGCAGGATTGAGGGTTTATCCCTTGAGGTCCACGTGGCAGGGGTGAGGTGGTGCTCACTCCTCACCCCTGCCACATGGACCCAGGGGATAAACCATCAACCCTGCTCAATGGTCAACTTTCCTCGCGGGGTCACACCCATTAGGACAGTGGGAGGGTTAATTTATTTCCAAGAATTTTCTAGCACATTAAAAAAATAAATAAATTGTTGACAGGCCAAGTGAAAATTAGATTTGTTGTCATGTTAAAGGCCTTTTAAGATTGTTTAACTACAAATTTGCTAAGAATTAAAATGTTTCAACTAGGTTTTTATTGGGTTGCCTGCTTTATTGAGCTCCCTGGGCTGCCACCTTACTGTGGTGGAGCCGTCTGAGGCTTTATGCATCCGGTAGGGTCACCCATAATAAACATGTCCATGGTGATGCATCAGACAAAGTGCACCCCACATGCCCACCTTGAGAGGTGTGGTTGGGAGGAAAGACCCTCCTGATCTAAATCCAAGATGTGCTTTGTTGTTGGACTTCTGTGCTCATGAATTGTCCATAATGAACATAATGTTTAGGCATAAAGGTGTCCATATGTGCTCTTGGCTCCAGGATACCTTAGGCCACAGCTCGATGATCCATTTTAGTGTCATTTCATCTGATCTGCGGCCGCATGTCTTGGACACTTGGGTGGACAGACAGGCAAAGCTGTCAAATGACCACAACCTGGTGGTGGGTTTACTTTGTTGGTAGGGAAGGATGCTGGTCAGACCTGGTAGGTTCTAGCAGACCCTCACAAGTCTTCCACCAAATGAAATTAAAACACACAGATAACACTACAACATGAGGGTAGTGTGTGTGTGTGTGTGTGTGTGTGTGTATGCGTGCACACGTGTGTATAATGGTGTATGCCCTGCTTTTTTGATAAATCTAAATAAAAATTTTAATGAGTGCTAAAATCTCATTATGTCAGTCACACAGAAGTGTAGTATAAATGGTACCTGTTCTTTACACTGCACCAAGGCTCTTTGGATTTCATTAGGATTGAGGGCATGTGCATGAGGCAGGCAGCTGAGGGCCAGCTCAGCCGCTGCACGAACCATGTTGGGGTCCCTGGCCCGTGATGCTCGATCTGCCAGAGAAGCCACTTCTGGGGGGGTCAAGTGGCCATCCCAACACTCCACTAAAATGTTTAGGGCAGCACTGCCAATCTCCATGGCTTGGCCTGAGAGAAGACGAGAAGACACTCAGACGGCTTACAAAAACAGACATGTTGCCTTAATCTGAATAAATTATGACCTTTGAAATGTATGTATACATTTTAGTTTGAGTCAACTTGAACCAAAAAGGCCTACTAATAATTGAGCTTAGGCAACCAGATAAAGTAGTTAAAAAAACATATTTTATCTGCATGTAAACAATATCCAACTTCAGACCAGCTAAAAAATATAGTTCCTCCAGCAAGTACCGTCTTCCCTTAAGCCCAGAACACACTGAGCATTTTTCTGCTGTTGCACAGGACTCCTTCATTTCACAATGTGAGGACTCTAAATAGGTGGAAAACTGTATGTATATACATACATACGTACAGTGGGTACGGAAAGTATCCAGATGTAAATTTTTCACCGTTATATTGCAGCCATTTACTTGCCCATTAAATTCAATTTTGCACCCCATACTGACAGGAAAATACAGACATTTTGAAATTTCTGCAGTTATTAAAAAAAGACAAAATGGAATATTTTATGATTCTAAGTGTTAAGACCCTTTGCTGTGACACTCATATTTAACTCAGGTGCTTTCCATTTCGTCTGATCATCTTTGAGATGGTCCTACACCATCATTGGAGTCTAGTTGTGTTTTATTACACGGGTTGGCCTTGATTAGGAAAGCCACACATCTGTCTATATAAGACCTTACAGCTCACAGAAAATAAGAATCATGAGGTCAAAGAAAAAACCTGAAGAGCTCAGAGACACAATTGTGACAAGGCACAACTTTGGCTTTTTCTATTTTACTTGCTAAACTGATCACAATATTTACAAAATAATATTTTAGTTAATTTGCTATTTCTCCATGGTTACTTATGAGAGTTCCATTTTCACTGGTCAGAGCCTCTACTGAACTTTAATTTTCATCATTGTTATTAATATATTACCTTAATGATTTTTAATATTTTCCACATTGCTTATTGTTTTTGTTCTGTTGTAATAATTTGTCAAGGTATTCCTTTTTACTAGTTCTCATTATATTTGTTAGTTTGTTTTTATATTTCTTGTATCTGCTTTCAGCCTCTTTTGTTCTAGTGTTTATGAAAATTTGGTATAGTGTATTCTCTTTTTACAGGCATTTTGTAGCCCCATTGCCACCCATGGCTTGGTATTTTGTTGCTGCTTCTGTTTTCTAATTGACAGTTTCTTCGTCTTCGTCTTCCTCCGCTTATCCGGGTCCGGGTCGCGGGGGCAGCATCCCAATTAGGGAGCTCCAGGCCGTCCTCTCCCCGGCCTTGTCCACCAGCTCCTCCGGCAGGACCCCAAGGCGTTCCCGGACCAGATTGGAGATGTAACCTCTCCAACGTGTCCTGGGTCGACCCGGGGGCCTTCTGCTGGCAGGACATGCCCGAAACACCTCCCCGGGGAGGCGTCCAGGAGGCATCCTGACCAGATGCCCAAACCACCTCAACTGGCTCCTTTCGATCCGGAGGAGCAGCGGTTCTACTCCGAGTCCCTCCCGAATGTCCGAGCTCCTCACCCTATCTCTAAGGCTGAGCCCGGCCACCCTACGGAGGAAACTCATTTCGGCCGCTTGTATCCGCGATCTCGTTCTTTCGGTCATTACCCAAAGCTCATGACCATAGGTGAGGATTGGGACGTAGATCGACCGGTAAATCGAGAGCCTGGCTTTCTGGCTCAGCTCCCTCTTCCCCACGACAGATCGGCTCAGCGTCCGCATCACTGCAGACGCCGAACCAATCCGCCTGTCGATCTCCCGATCCCTCCTACCCTCACTCGTGAACAAGACCCCGAGATACTTAAACTCCTCCACTTGAGGTAGGACCTCTCCCCCGACCCGGAGGTGGCAAGCCACCCTTTTCCGGTCGAGAACCATGGTCTCAGATTTGGAGGTGCTGATCCTCATCCCAGCCGCTTCACATTCGGCCGCGAACCTACCCAGCAAGAGCTGAAGGTCAGAGCTGGATGAAGCTAGGAGGACCACATCATCCGCAAAAAGCAGAGACGAGATTCTCCTGCCACCAAACTCAACACACTCCACACCACGGCTGCGTCTAGAAATTCTGTCCATAAAAGTGATGAACAGAACCGGTGACAAAGGGCAGCCCTGGCGGAGTCCAACCCTCACAGGTCCGACTTACTACCGGCTATGCGGACCAAACTCACGCTCCTCTGGTAAAGGGACTGAATGGCCCTTAACAGAAAGCCACCCACCCCATACTCCTGGAGCGTCCCCCACAGGGTGCCCCTGGGGACACGGTCATAAGCCTTCTCCAAATCTACAAAGCACATGTGGATTGGTTGGGCAAACTCCCATGCCCCCTCCATCACCCTTGCAAGGGTATAGAGCTGGTCCACAGTTCCACGGCCAGGACGAAAACCACATTGCTCCTCCTCTATCTGAGATTCAACTATCGATCGGACCCTCCTCTCCAGTACCTTGGCGTAGACCTTTCCAGGGAGGCTGAGGAGTGTGATCCCCCTATAGTTGGAACACACCCTCAGGTCACCCTTCTTAAAGATGTGGACCACCACCCCGGTCTGCCACTCCCTAGGAACTGCCCCCGATGACCACGCAATGTTGTAGAGACGTGTCAACCATGACAGCCCTGCAACATCCATAGCCTTGAGATACCCAGGACGAACCTCATCCGCCCCCGGGGCTCCGCCGCTGTGTAGTTGTTTGACTACCTCAGCAACTTCTGCCCCCGAGATCGGACGGTCCATCCCCAGGCCTCCCAGCTCTGGTTCCTCCTCGGAATGCGCATTGGTGGGATTGAGGAGCTCCTCAAAGTATTCCTTCCACCGTCCGACTATAGCCTCAGTTGACGTCAGCAGCTCCCCATCCCCACTGTAAACAGTGTGAGCGAGTTGCTGCCTTCCTCTCCTGAGGCGCCGGACAGTTTGCCAGAACCTCTTTGTAGCCGATCAATAGTCTTTCTCCATGGCCTCACCAAACTCCTCCCACGCCCGAGATTTTGCCTCGGCAACTGCCACTGCTGCACCCCGCTTGGCTATCCGGTACCTGTCTGCTGCCTCCGGAGACCCACAGACCAGCCACGCCCTGTAGGCCTCCTTCTTCAGCCTGACGGCTCCCCGAACCTCTGGTGTCCACCAGCGGGTACGGGGGTTGCCACCACGACTGGCACCGGCCACCTTACGACCACAGCTAGCAACAGCCGCCTCGACAATCGCAGAGTGGAACAAGGCCCACTCGGACTCAATGTCCCCCACTGCTCTCGGGACGTGGTCAAAGCTCTGCCGGAGGTGGGAGTTGAAGACCGTCTTGACAGGTTCTTCTGCCAGGCGTTCCCAGCAGACCCTCACTATGTGTTTGGGTCTGCCAGGTCTACGCGGCATGTTCCCTTGCCATCTGATCCAACTCACCACCAGGTGGTGATCAGTTGACAGCTCCGCCCCTCTCTTCACTCGGGTGTCCAAAACATACGGCCGCAGGTCAGATGATACGACTACAAAATCTATCAACGACCTGTGACCTAGGCTGCCCTGGTACCAAGTGTACCGGTGGGCATCCTTATGTTCGAACATGGTGTTCGTTATGGCCAAACTGCGGCTTGCACAGAAGTCCAATAACAAAACACCGCTCGAGTTCAGATTAGGTGGGCTGTTCCTCCCAATCACACCCCTCCAGGTCAAGCTGTCATTGCCCACGTGAGCATTGAAGTCCCCCAGCAGGACAATGGAGTCCCCTGATGGAGCACTATCTAGCACTCGTCCCAGGGACTCCAAAAAGGGTGGGTACTCTGAACTGATATTTGGCCCATAAGCACAAACAACAGTCAGGACCCGTTCCCCGACCCGAAGGCGCAAGGAAGCTACCCTCTTGTCCCCCGGGGTAAACCCCAACACACAGGCAGAGAGTCTCGGGGCTAACAAAAAGCCAACCCCAGCCCTCCGCCTCTCACCCGGAGCAACTCCAGCAAAGTAGAGTGTCCAACCCCTCTCCAGGTCTCGGGTTCCAGAGCCAATGCAATGTGTCGAGGTGAGTCCGACTATATCTAGCCGGTACCGCTCAACCTCTGCCACAAGCTCCGGCTCCTTCCCCGCCAGCGAGGTGACGTTCCATGTCCCAAAAACTAGTTTTCTTGTCCGGGGATTGGACCGCCAAGGCTCCCGCCTTGGTCTGCCACCCGATTCGCATTGCACCGGACCCTTCATGTTCCTCCTGCGGGTGGTGGGTCCACAGTTGGACGAGCCCATGTATCCGGTTCGGGCTGGGCCCGGCCGGGCCCCATGGGCGAAAGCCCGGCCACCAGGCGCTCGCTCACGGGCCCCAACCCCAGGCCTGGCTCCAGGGTGGGACCCCGGTAACCCTCCGGGCCGGGTACTCCGACTCTTCGTTTTAACCGCCATGAAAGATCATGTTTTTGTAAGCCGTCTGGGTGTCTTCTCGTCTTCTCTCAGGCCAAGCCATGGAGATTGACAGTTTTTATTATATAATTCAAGTATTTTTGCGACAAAGATTTAAAATGCCTTACTTGGATCATGTCATTTATACAATATTTTTTCCCAGATTTCATTCTTTAAGTATGTTTTAAGTGCAGTGATGGATTCTGCAGTTCTGTATCGGCTCAGTTTGGACTTTTTAACTTTTGTATTATTTCCTATATTTTTCAAGTTTTGTATGATGGCAAAGGCTGGAAGATGGTCACTAATATTTTTGATAAATACACCACTCATTTTCTTTTCTTTTCTTTGTGAATATATCGTTTATTAGTGTTGCTGTATCTACTACAATTCTGGAAGGTTTTGTAATTAGAGAAAATAAGTTGGTGGCGTACATTGTGTTTATAAAGTCGGTGGGTTTTACATGTTTGTTTGGATTCAACAGATCCATAATGAAATCACCACAGACTATTATTGGTTTTTTGTTATTAACTTTGTCATTTATCTCATTTACTTTTATCTGTGAATGTCTGGAGGCAGCTTCCAGGTGTTCTGTAGACGCATGAAATTATTATATTTTGTGATTTTTCAACATTTATTTCCAGAGATAAACGTTCATAGTTGTTTTCAACTTTTTCCATCATCCTTTTGAGTGCTGTGCATCTCAGGTCATTAGCTGCATAAATAGCAACCCCATTTCCTTTCTCATTCCTCCTTTTCATTGTGAATAATTCATATCCATCAAGATCCACTTCATTTGGTTTATTGCCATCTAACCAGGTCTCAGATATGGCAATTATATTAAACTTCTTAAAAAAAATTTCAAGTAGTCCTTCATTTTACAAACGTTTTTGTTTAGACTTCTGCTGTTGACATGTATTATTGACAGGGCCCCATCTATTTTCACATTTTTGTTTAAGGTTTCCTCTGTGTAGTATTCACAGTTACTACATTTGCAATGTTATAGAGATATATTACTGGATCTATGTAGCTGTCTAATTCGTGTACTTTGAGGATTTTGTCATCATTGTTGTGGTTTATTTTACCTGTGTTAATTTCTGTAGTCACTCATACTTTTCCAGCTCCTCAATGTGTTTTATCACTAGGACTTTGGCTTCCTCTGGTGACCCATTCAGTTTAATTATTATTTTACAGTTTGCTGTCCATGCTGACTGAATTTTTTTTCAGTTTTTTTAAGAGTCATGCCTTCCTTGCCATCTTTGTATTTTTCTTTGTTAAATGTTAATTCACATACACGTCAGTTCCTTTGAGTTGTCTCCCTTGTTTTAGAAGGGCATTCTTGTATCTTCTGTTTGCGATTCGTATGATCATGGATGATTTAGCATCTTTGTTTTTACGAGGTAATAAATGGCAAGCTTCAATGTCTGTGTTGGGTATGGCTATACCTTTGTTGGTAACGAAAGATGTCACCTGGTTCTCCAGAGAGTTCATGTCCATGTATGTTAGCACCTCGCCATCCTGCTGTGTTACCAGCCTGGCGTAGGATCGGGGCCTGGTCTCCTAGCCTGGCCTACCAGACTCCTCCTCTGTTTAATTCTGCACAGAGAAAGGGTCTGGGAATTCTCCTATACAAATAACCCCACCCCCTGAGAATTCTAACTGAGCCAATCAGCGCTGAGTAGCGTACGTCACACACCACAATGTAGAGTTTGTCATAAATCTGGTGACTGAAGCAGAGTTCGCTGCAGCTCTTTCCTCTGTTCTAAATGACTTGGACATGTCTTTAAAACCACAACAAGAAGTGCTAAAAGCCTTTCTTCTAAAGAAAGATGTTTGCGCTATCGCCAGACACAATTTTTGACTACAGCTAAAAACCTACAGCGTTGCGCGGGTCTGCCTTTCTGTCTTCTTTTTCTGATTGTTTATTTTTGAGCTGCTTAGTCCCGCCCCTCACGTACCTGTCTGCCAGAGAGTAACCAGACTCTTTCTCTGTGCAGAATTAAACAGAGGCTGAGTTCTTCAGGCTGAAGAAGCCGGCAGCTGTCGGCGAAACTGTAGCTACAAACAGGTAAACAAAACTGTTTCTGTGTTTAAAAAAGAACGAAAGCATGGATTTACAAAGACACAGCAAGAACACACCTAAGATGTTCAAAGGGTCTGAATACGTAGGACCATGTGATATTTCTGTTTTTCTTTTTTAACTATTATTGGCAACAAAAAATGTCTAAAATTCTGTGTTTTTCTGTCAATTTGAGGTGTTGTGTTTAAATTATTGAGAACATTTTTTGATTTAATTGATTTTAGCAAATGGCTAATGGAGTGAAATATTGATAGGGGTCTGAATACTTTCCGTACCCACTGTATTTACACTATTTATATACACTATATCAGGGATGGGACTTTAACGTGTTAATTATGATTAATTAACTAGGAAAAAATGAAACATAAAAAAAACTCCATACAGAAAATCAGAGCTTCCATTTCAAGCAAGGTGGAACCTTTTTTCATTGCATGCTTTAGTGGTAGACCGAATATCACGGACTCAGACGACAATGCACAGTGCTCTTCTAACAGCTATTAAAATGGTATAATTTGAAGAAAAGAAGAGACACCCAGACTTCTCTTTCCCCAGCTACTTGATCCAGCTCTTCAGGGGGAATCCCAAGGTGTTCCCTGGCCAGCAGAGAGACATAGTCCCTCCAGCGTGTCCTGGGTCTTCCCTTGGGTCTCCTCCCAATTGGACGAGCCCAGAAAACCTCACCAGGGAGGTGTCCAGGAGGCATCCTGACTAGTTGCCCAAGCCAGCTCAACTGGCTCCTCTTGACGTGGAAGAGCAGTGGTTTACTCCAAGCCCATCCTGGATGACCAAGCTTCTCACCCTATCTCTAAAGGGAGAGTCCAGCCATCCTGCGGAGAAAACTCTTTTTGGCCGCTTGTATCAGCGATCTCATTCTTTCGATTTCTACCTAAAGCTCGTGACCGTAGGTGAGGGTAGGATATCGACCGGCAAATCGAGAGCTTTACCTTCCTGCTCAGCTCTCTCTTCACCATGCCAGATCGGTACAGTGCCCGCATCACTGCAGACGCAGCACCAATCCGCCTGTCGGTCTCACACACCATCTTTACCTCACTCGTGAACAAGACCCTGAGATACTTAAACTCCACTTGAGGCAGGACCTCGTCCCTGACCAGGAGAAGGCATTCTACCCTTTTCCGATTTAAGACCATGGTCTCTGATTTAGAGGAGCCGATTCTCATCCCAGCTGCTTCACACTCTACTGCAAACCGCTCCAGTGAAAGCTGGAGATCACCGTCCGATAAAGTTAACAGGACCAAATCATCTGCAAAAAGCAGAGACCTGCTAAAATTATCCTTTACAGGGTTAATGAAAGGCCACCCAGTCCTTATTGCCCCCTGTGGCCAGAATATTGCACTTGCAACTTCACAGTTGCCAGTCTGCTCTGCTGGGCTGACTATAATTCTGATGAGTAACATTCATCCTCTGATTATATATTCACTCGGCCAGTCTGTGAGGGTACATACGCTTACACATGAGCTTTTTCACTGTGTTTCACTGTGTTCAGGATATGGTGAGGGTAGAAGAATGGTAAAAACACCGCCAGCGGGAATGTAAAAGAACACGTGACGTGGTAGATGTGTAGCAGAAAGTTAAAAGTGCATCATATAAATGATGTTATAATAGTGATTGTGATATAACTGTATTACTAAAAGAAGAAAAGCTTTACTTTTGAAATCAGTTTGAATGTACAATTTTTGTGAAGCAAAGAGCAAGTTGAGGTCAGAGCAAGATTAAACAAAAACGGGGTTCACCTAACGACCTGTTGTTTAGGGGATTTAGGTGTATCGGCCGAAAACCAAAAATGCACTTTTGGATCATTTTTGGATGAAATGTGTTGGTGGCCGAATTTTCAGTGCATCCCTGTTCTCAAGGGTACCTGTATCTTACATCCTCATTTGTAAGTCACTTTTGATAAAAGTGTCTGGCAGATATATAAACACAATAGGACAGGACTTGTTTAAGAAAGAAAGTACTTCTATTAAAATGAGGGTCTTAAGGTGTATAGGTATATTTTATGCATGCACACACAACCACACACACACCCCTCACCAGTGATCCAGGACACATGGGATGAATATGTTCTAGAAAGCCAATTGGGTGAGACAAAGTTGTGGAGGCCAAGAGCATAGAGCCCAATCTCAAAGGCACAGAGATGCAGGTTTCTATGTGGTCCTTGGTGACCACCGCTGGCTGAAGGCTGGGTAAAAATGGACGTTGAAGAGTTTCCTCCAGCTTTGATGAGTACAGTTTTGGCCAACTCGAAGTAAAAGTGGGCTGCTGCTTCTGATGGCTGATTGGGCACATGGGGAGCATGGCACTCTAGCCGCCGTCCTTTGTACCTGAACACATGAAATGTTTGAAATGTTAACAGATCAACTGATGCACATAATTAATCAATAAACATAATGGGTTTAGATATCTTAATTATTCACTTTAATATCCAATTGATGCCTTTATCAATTGTTCACATCAAAGTTTCTCTAAATTTGACTTTCAAAGCACTATTAAAAGTCAAGAGGCTTCTATAAAGTGGCTTCTACAAAATCTGGGTTGTCTATACAAGTCTTTAGGCCTTGAACTGCTCATTTAATCAATCAATTTTCAATCTTTTGTCAGACAATTTGCACAATACTATGATCAGAAACAAAGAATCTATATAGGGTTCAGTTCTGGACCACCAACATTTCTAGGGGCTCATGACCAGCAGTATAACTGTCCAATCACATTGCAGAGTAATGGTTTTCAAAAGCGCATATAATTAAGTTGGTGTTGTTTAGCAGTAATTTAATCAACACTTGTACAGTGGTCTCTAGTAGGAATGAATGCCTTGTAAGTCGTACTCTAGGGAAAAAAAGCTCAGGTAAACCAGTTTCAGGAACTAGAAAATTGCCTAATCCGAGAGCTTCAGATAAATAGATTTAGACACTTATTTCTTGAGATTTAAGACACCTCGCCTAGGACTGGATGACAGTAATACGACTCTACCACTGACTCTGTTTGCTCTGTAACATTGATGTTTTATTTCAACAAATAATATAAGCCTAAAGGATTTCTGCTGTGTGATGGAGTTGTTAATGTTAACGGTTAGCTTCTGCTAACTGAGAAGTTCTTTGGTGCCAGATGCTAAATCAACGAACAACCTACCCAATTACGAGTTAGGATGAGTGAGTCCATGAATGTTAAGTGACATACACTCACCAAAAGGATTATTAGGAACACCATACTAATACGGTGTTTGAACTTTTTCCTTCAGAACTGCCTTAATTCTATGTGGCATTGATTCAACAAGGTGCTGAAAGTATTCTTTAGAAATGTTGGCCCATATTGATAGGATAGCATTTTGCAGTTGATGGAGATTTGTGGGATGCACATCCAGGGCACAAAGCTCCCATTCCATCACATCCCAAAGATGTGGTGGAATGACTCGGGTTGAGATCTGGTGATTGTGGGGACCATTGTAGTACAGTGAACTCACTGTCATGTTCAAGAAACCAAGTGACATGGTGCACTATTCTGCTGGAAGTAGCCATCAGAGGATGGGTACATGGTGGTCATGATGGGATGGACATGGTCAGAAAAAATGCTCAGGTAGCCCGTGGCATTTAAACAATGCCCAATTGGCACTAAGGGGTCCAAAGTGTGCCAAGCAAACATCCCCTACACCATTATACCACCACCAGCAGCCTGCATAGTGGTAACAAGGCATGATGGATCCATGTTCTCATTTTGTTTACGCAAAATTCTGACTACCATTTGAATGTCTCAACAGAAACCAAGACTCGTCAGACCACGCAACATTTTCCAGTCTTCAACTGTCCAGTTTTGGTGAGCTTGTGCAAATTGTAGCCTCTTTTTCCTATTTGTAGAGGAGATGAGTGGTACACGGTGGGGTCTTCTGCTGTTGTAGCCCATCCGCATGTTGTGCATGTTGTGGCTTCACAAATGCTTTGCTGCAGTCAATCCTTACTTTGGTTAAATAAACCAGTTGTTAAACCCCCACTCCTCTGTTTGGTCTTCTTTCTTGTTACAGCCCACCACTCCTAGACTGGGTTGTACTTGTAACAATCTGCAGACAGATTTCTGAGTATCTCCTCCTTTGGTATACAGATCCTCACTGAGCCAAGTACTGTGAACGTTGGTTACGTATCGTAACCCCAGATTCTATGAGTCTAGTCGCAGCCCTTAAGCGAGCTGCTATTGGAAGGATGATCTCCGCATCAGCCAATCATGAAGAGCTTAAGTGTACGCCCACTAATAGTGGGCCCCCTTGTGGGTATATAAGTGGAGCGACTCCACTGTTCGCCTCCGATGGCTCTTAGTCCTAACAGAACCAGTGGGGCCAGTGGCTTAAGGGCTGCGACTAGACTCATAGAATCTGGGGTTACGATACGTAACCAATGTTCAATTTCATCTAGTCTTAGCCCTTAAGCGAGCTGCTATTGGAATAATGCGCAGCTGGATGGGTTTACGCCACACTGGTTAGCTCAACCAATGAACACCCCCAACACGTCCTCTTTTAGTGAAGGGCGCTCAGCCTCAGTCCAGGCTTAAAGGCTGAGGCAGACAAAATAAGAGTGGAGCCCCCACTAAAAAACATCATCCACAAAAGGATGAAATCATCCAAGCAGGGTTGATGAGGTGCCATAAAGCGTTCATTCAGCCTGCTGAGGTCCAAGCACTGAACGAGTGACGGACCCTGAAGACACATCTCGTAAATAATAACGAGTAAAAGAACAGGGTGATGCCCATGAAGCAGCATGACAAATGTCTTCCATTGACACACCACTGAGGAGCACCGTAGAAGAGGAAATCCCTCTGGCTGAGTCAGCCCTGAGTGCCTCAGGAGGGTCCCGCCCTGATGATGTGTAAGTGAGTGAAATGGCGTCACATAGCCAGTGTGAAAGACGCTGGGTCGACAGCGCCTGCCCAAGGGAAGACTCCCTGTAGTGCACAAACAGGCTTTGTGAGCAGCGAATCCCCGAAGTGCGTGACACATATTGTGCGAGCGCTCGCACCAGGCAGAGAAGATGGGAAGCCACCTCCTCCTCAGAATTATGGGGAGGAGGAAAAAGTCCAGCCAATGAAATTGACCTGGATTTGAAGGATGCAGTAATGCTTTTGGGCACAAAGGCTGGGTTGGGGCATAAAACCGCAGACCCGCAATCCTCCCGGATCCTGAGGCATGCGGGAGCCACTGAGAGGGCGGCTAGGTCGCTCACTCTCTTGACTGATGCCAGAGCCAACAGCAAGGCCATTTTGAGTGACAGGAACCTAAGTGAGACCTGGTCCAAGGGTTCAAATGGGGCTTTAGATAAGCCGTGCAGAACCACCGCGAGGTCCCACTGGGGAAATGGCGGCCGGGACACAGGTCTGTTCCTTCTGAAACCTTTTAGAAAATGTTTCGTGAGGGAATGACTGAAAACAGATCTTTCTCCAAAGCCCTGATGACAGGATGAGATAGCTGCAGCATATGTTTTAATAGTGCTGAATGCGAGGCCCCTGTCCATCAGTATCTGCAGAAACGATAGGACATCCGCCAGCTGGCAGGAGAGCGCTTGAACATTCCGCTCTGCGCACCAGTTCTGGAAAGCTGCCCATTTAGCAGCATAAGATGCAACGGTAGAGGGCGCCCGCGCACTCTGAATCGTGGCCACCAAATCATGCGGCAGCCCAGAAGCCTCTAAGCGTGACAGCTCAGCAGCCAAACCCAAAGCCGCTAGCCTATTTCGGGAGGATGTCTGATTATTCCATCCGCCTGGAGAAGGGCACCCTCCCTCCACGGCAGCCTCCACGGGGAGCCGGACACTAGCGCTTGCAGGTCCGGAACCCATGACGCGGACAAGCGTCTGGGAGCCACCAGAATTACCGAGAGCTGTTCTGACCGAACTCGGTCCAGGAGACCTGCTCCTCAGAGGGACTGGTGGAAACGCATAGAGGAGCGTTCGAGGCCAGGGCTGGTGTGAGAAGGCGTCCGCCCCGAGTGGGGGTCGGTCCCGGGGACTCAGGGAAAACCACAGGCGACACTGAGCGTTTTCGCGAGCCGTGAACAGATCCACAGAAGGTACCCCGAACCTGATCCAGATCTGCGACACCAGCGCAGGATGCAGACGCTAGTCGGAGTCGCGGGATCCCCCTCTCGACAGGATGTCTGCTGCTACATTCAGGACCCCCGGAATGTAGGTGGCCTTGATGGACAGCAGGTGGCCATGTGCCCAACACAGTAAATCTGTGGCTACACGCAACAGTGGGAGAGACCGAACTCCCCCTTGGCGATTTATGTAGGCTGCCGCCACCCGGTTGTCCGTGTGAACTTCGACATGACAGCCCTCGAGCAGGGCAGCGAAGTGTCTGATCACATTCCTCACTGTCATCAGCTCCAACACATTTATGTGCTCGTGCGTGTGGGAGGGCCAGCGATCTGCCACTGTCTGGGACAAGCACGTGCCCCCCCCCCCCCCCCCCCAACAGTGACGCATCCGTGAACACAGATACGTGTGACGCAGGACGTCCGATGGGAACTCCGTGTGAGAGGGTGCAGGGATTCCCCCAGTGAATGAGGTCCCCGCCCACTGAGGGGGGAACCCTCTTCATACGTTCCTTCTGACGTATTGGGTGCACCCGGAGGCGGATGAACCAGCGTTGCAGGCGCCTCGTGTGTAGCAGCCCTAGCAGCACTACAGCGTGGGCTGCAGCCATCATGCCCATAAGTTTCATGACCAACAGGGCTCTCACGATCCTGCGGGGTTGCACGCGGGAAATCACCGTGATAAGATCTGCCGCTCTCACCGGCGACAAACGTGCTCTCATCAGGGAGTCGTCCAGCTCCACCCCGAGAAGCACAATCAACTGGGATGGAAGGATGGAGCTCTTCACCCAGTTTATAGAAAACCCCAGGGTTGACAGATGCTCTGTTAACTTCCTGGTCTATTCCGACGCCTCGTCCTGGGACCAAGCGCACAGGAGCAGGTCGTCCAGGTAAAATAAAACTCTCATTCCCGCCGCGCGCACCGGCTGCAGCGCGGTCTCCAGACATTTGGAGAAAGTGCGCGGGGCTAGCGAGTAGCCGAAAGGGAGGCGATTGAACTGGTAGTGAACTCCCTTGAATGAGAAGCGCAGGAACTTCCGGTGCTTGGCAATCACTGAGACACGGAAGTATGCGTCTTTCAGGTCTATTGACGTGAACCAGTCCCCGGAGCGCACATATTCCAGGACTTGCCTCATTGTCAACATGCGGAAATGCATCACTGCTATGGAGCAGTTGAACAGGGAAAGGTCGAGGATTGGTCTCATTCCTCCCGACTTCTTCAGTACTACGAAGTAGCGGGAGTAGAACCCGAGAGCTCTTGTCCGCGAGGGACTCGGGAAATAGCGTCCTTGGACAGAAGTTCCCGCAGCTCCAGCTCTAGGGTCTGAGACTGAACTTGTGACGTGAACGTCGTCTCCACGATCCCATTGAAGGGAGGAGGAGCGGCCTGAAAATGGAGTGTGTGACCGTAATGAATGGTCTCAGATATCCATTTGCTCATAGCACAAAGGCGGCGCCATTCGTGCGCGCGTTCCGACAGCGGACGCGTGTTCGCGGTCACGTGAGCAATGTCTGAAGACTGGGTATGCGCCCTTACTGCCGTCGCTCGCCCCAGAGAACTGGGGGCGACCCATGGAGGGCTGTGCTCAAAAGGGCGAGTGCGAACCAGCTGGAAGAGGCTGACTCGCACCGCGGATGGGGCCGCGCGCGGTCGCGACCGCGCCATGACGTCCTGTCCCACCCAGCGTTGTGGGGAAAACGGGACGGGTTGGGCCTGGCCGGAGGATGGGGCCGGTGTGCAAATGGAGCGTACCTTCACAGCTGGCCGTGAGATATGACAGACTGCGGGGATACGTATATGTGCCACAGTACTATTACTGTTATCTATTGAATCAAAGCATATTATAATGTGCTTGAACAATTTAATCATTTCTTAATAATGTTTGTACTGGAAGAGAGAATGGGAGGGGGTCGTCAAAAATTTGACAGGTAAAAAAGGGGTCCCTTGGGAAAAAGGTTGGGAACCCCTGGATCCTGTTTGCAGCACGTGAAGGAAAAAGTGTCTGTTAAAGGCAGCAACGCTTCAAATCTCATGACAACTGCGTGATCACCCACAACTCTACAGTCAACGCAAGGCAAGTTAGTGTTTTTGCTAAAATGCGTGATCCGAGGATTTGAGTTGAGGGAGAATGCAACGAGTCACTATATAAGGGGCTTGACACACGGGAGGCGACAAACGACCGTGATCAGCGAAATTTGTCGCTATCGCTTTTATTACCTGACACACGGGAGGCGACCCACGGCAGCGGCCAGCGGCAAAGCAGTCTACGCGTTCTGTTCCATGGCGAAATCGAAACTTCTGTTGTTTTGTTTGGCTGTGTCAGGTTGGAGGGAATTAAGGTTTTTTAAGCGGTTCAGAGTTTAAAAAGTGGTAGATATGATGTTTCACAAGGTGCTGCTAGAGTTATGTGAAATCTTACTTCTGATTTTACTATATAAAACATAATAATAATCAACTTCTCCTTCATGTTTGCTCGGAGATGTACGGAGCATCCTGCCCGCTCATTGGTCAGTGAATAAAACCTCTGTTGATTGGTCCTCGTCCCAGCGACAGCTATGAAAAGTTGAAAATATTTCAACTTTCTGGGATTGCGTCGCTGGGTCGCCTGTGCACGACACGTGCACGAGCACAAAATTTCACACGCATGTTTTTCGCGTTTCGCTTAGTAGGAGGGAGACCCGCGATTATCGCTTTGTTGCGCATGTCTCATTGAAAATGAATGGAAGAGAGGCGATGTCGCCTCCCGTGCGTCGAGCCCATAAAGCAGCCGCAGCGCCCGCTACCTGCATATAAACCGTGTCGCGGACACCCCCATATTGAAATGACGCTATGCAATACGGGGCTCCCAGGGGCAGATAAGATTTGGTCTCTCTCCGAGAATAATTATGAATTTAAAAAATATTACTGCCTGATGACATTTCCCCAAATCTGCAAAGCTCACTGGAAGAACACAAATAGAGGACAATATTTTCCTGATATGGGGTTTATTACTCAAGTAAGGGTAAAAAAAGTATCTGATCAGAAGGCTACTTGAGTACTGAGTATCATCTGATATAATATTTTTAAATTGATGACAACAGACAAAAAATAAGAAGTTATGGGCAAATATTGGTATTTTAAAGACTAAAGAGGAAAAATGTAAACAAATAAACAACATAATTACAAAATAAAAAATTTTAGGCAAAATTTAGACACAAACTGAGGACAATATTTTCCTGATATACAGGGTTTATTTAGTTGTCTGAAAATGTAGCACGTTTAAAAAAATACCGCGATAATACCAAAAACCGTGATAATTTTGGTCACAATAACCGTGAGGTTACATTTTCACACCGTGACAACCCTAGTATATACATGTACTTTTGTTGATATTTTTCTTCAAATGATTCTCTAAGTGTACACTACCGGTCAGAGGTTTTAGACCGTCCCAATTTTTCCTGTTTTTTATTGGAAATTATGCTGTTTAATGTCACATTGCACTCTGATATGAAAGCATAATACAAATAAGCAATTGGAGTAAAAAAAAAGAAAAAAGAAATCATGGAATCATTTTTAGACCAAAATGTATTCTAAACTTTTGACTAGTCAAAGTAGCCACCTTTGGCAGATATAACAGCTGAACTGGGGGCTAGGGGTGTGGGGACGGACGGCCCCGTGGGGGGATCTGGGCGGGGCGTTGGGGATTGGGTCCTGACTTCTACGCTGCTGGGAAGAAAGCAGGAACATGCAGCAGTGCCCTCACAGGGGAGAGGGGGATGTCCAGGAGTGGGAGGACCCAACCTTACCTGGATGTCTTATGTCTTACATATTCTGGAATTTGTGCAAATGCAGGGATGGGAGTAGATACTCTGCTGGGGTAGGTTTGTGCCTTCGGACTCCTTGGGGCTCAGCAATGCTGCTGCTTTGGACCCTGGCGAGATGTGCTGGGGTCTCCATGCCCTGGGTGGCATTTTGGGAACAGAGGTGCCTATTGGGACCACTGGGGGAACTGGCTCCCTGGAGGGCGTAAGTCAACCAGCCATTTCTCCCCATCCCCACACATTTTTCTCCTTGCTACCTTCACATCATCACACAAACATGCACATAGGACCTTGGGGGGTGGGCAAGTCAGGGGTGTGGGTATAGATCCCATTTCTGTATTCCGCATTCCTCTAATGCATCTGTTCATTTTATTATCACCAAACAGCTTATTAAAAATTCATCCTTTTCTTTTTTTCAGCCTTACACACAGCTTTATACAGCTTTACACAGATCTAAATGAAGGCGAGTTGCACGTTTACCTGCTGGTATCTGTGCTCTTAGCCCTGGCTCCACCACCTGCCCTGCAAGAGCCACTGGAGGAAGAGGAGCCAAGCGAATCAGATGATGAACTACTAATGCTGTCACTGTCCTGGCCTCTTCCCCAGGAAGCTGCTGTCCAACCACCCCGAAGCGGTCTTCGGCTGAGAGTGGGGGAACTGTCTGAGGTTGTTTCTGGAGCACTGCTGTCAATACTTGCCATTCCTGTGAACATACATACAAATTTAGATTGTTTTGCATACGCCATGTAGAATTCTAATTACTTTCACCACCATATTTCTGGGCACGACATCATCCCTATGCAAAGACAGTGGCGTAAAAAGGATTTGGCAGGCACTGATTTTGCAAGTTGTCCTACTCGAAATGGAGAGAGGTTTGTAAATTTCATCACTGGTACAATTTAACTGTGAGAGAGAGTATATAAAAAAAATCCAGGAAATCACTGTGTATAATTTTTAAATAATTTATTTGTTAAACTGTGCAGAAAGTAAGTTTTTGGTCAATAACAAAATTTCCCCTCAATTCTTAGTATTAATCTTGTAATATAACCTTGGTTGTCAATGACTATACATCACACCAGGTTTACACACACTGTAGCTGTTATTTTGGTTCATTCTACCATGTAGATCTGCTCTAGAGGTGTGATGTTTTGAGGCTGTCGCTGGGCAACACAGACTTTCAACTCCCGCCCAGACTCTCATTTGGATTGAGGTCGAAAGAATTGCTAGGCCACTTCATAACCTTGGATTGCTTTTTACGTAGCAATCCTGTTTTTGCCCGGGCATGTGTTTGGAATTATTGTCATGCTGGAAGTTCCTGTCACTTTTAATCTTCAATGCTTCTGTTGTAAGGTGGAAAAACGATGGTCTGGCCGGGATTCAATCCCAGACTCCCGGTTGAGAGTCACGCCTGCGAACCAGTCAGCCAAAGGAATATCCTTGTGGCCAAGTAGCCAGGGTGCGTGATCAATCAGGATACAGTGACAGGATGCTTACCCTGTCACACTTTTCACTGATGTTAGGAGGTTTTTTCCCAAAATCTTATGATACATACTCTTATTGATCCATTTCCTAATACAGTCATCTTGCCTCCTTTGAAGAAAAACAGCCCCAAAGCATGATGTTTCCACCTCTATGCTGTTGGTATTAAGGATGGAGAGATTCACCAATCTGAACCAGTGGTTCGTTCATTACATTATGCGATTGCACCGGTAGCTTCAGTGTGCAGGGGGAGAGGTCCTACCTCAAGTGGAGGAGTTTAAGTATCTAGGGGTCTTGTTCACGAGTGAGGGGAGGAGGGATCGGGAGATCGACAGGCGGATTGGTTCGGCGTCTGCAGCGATGCGGACGCTGAGCCGATCTGTCGTAGGGAAGAGGGAGCTGAGCCAGAAAGCCAGGCTCTCGATTTACCGGTCGATCTACGTCCCAATCCTCACCTATGGTCATGAGCTTTGGGTAATGACCGAAAGAACGAGATCGCGGATACAAGCGGCCGAAATGAGTTTCCTCCGTAGGGTGGCCGGGCTCAGCCTTAGAGATAGGGTGAGGAGCTCGGACATTCGGGAGGGACTCGGAGTAGAACCGCTGCTCCTCCGGATCGAAAGGAGCCAGTTGAGGTGGTTTGGGCATCTGGTCAGGATGCCTCCTGGACGCCTCCCCGGGGAGGTGTTTCGGGCATGTCCTGCCGGCAGAAGGCCCCCGGGTCGACCCAGGACACGTTGGAGAGGTTACATCTCCAATCTGGTCCGGGAACGCCTTGGGGTCCTGCCGGAGGAGCTGGTGGACAAGGCCGGGGAGAGGACGGCCTGGAGGTCCCTAATTGGGATGCTGCCCCCGCGACCCGGACCCGGATAAGCGGAGGAAGACGACGACGAAGATTGCACCGGTAGCTTCAGTGTGCAACGCATACAACTGACAATTTTGCCTAGTGGTTCAGAGATGTCCAATAAGCAGCTGAGATAAATGCATATCCTAAAGGAACAGTAATATTATGCTACAACAGTATTTAATATCACCCCATATGGCTCATTACAATATTTAAAAATATTTTCTGATGTTTATGGTGTTTTGGAATAATTCGTAATAAGTATACCAATACTTTTCTGATTCTGTTCATTTACTTTTCTTAGAAGAGTGACCATATAATCTTCATTTCAACTCCGCTATTTCAACAGAGTATTGTAGCAATAAAAATATGTACAATATGTAAATAACACTGATGAAGTGCATTTTATCTGTCAGCAGAGGATTTTGAGGATTTGGCATTGTTGGCAGTCCATTGGTAACCAGCTCTACTGGACAGCAGTATCCACAGTCGATGCAAATCCGGATTTAACCGAGGCAAAGTGGAAATCACTAGAGAACCATGCACAAGACATTCACAAACATGGAACACAAGTGTTTCCATCTCGTCTCCACCCTCCAGTGGTAAGACAGAACCTGAACAAACAATAGCTAATTCCAGATAACTGATGGATACACCCTAGGAGAGATTATAATTATGTGTGGTTTATTTTAATGCATCTTTTGGTGATCAGCAAGATCAACTGCAGCAGTTAAGCTGGAACAAGTGGAATGCCAGCCAGTGTTTTTTTAACATGTCAGACAGCTGTCACCACATCAGACATATTCACTCAAAGCATTCCACTTCCTTATCCTGAAATTAGCTCTGAAAAATACTGGGTTCTTGTACCTGAGTGTGTACACTAGGCAAGTATTATTGAGCGTTTGTGTGATTGTGACCCAATTAGCAGCTGGGATGAGAATCAGCTCCTCTAAATCTCAGACCGTGGTCTTGATTCGGAAACGGTAGAATACCTTTTCCAGATCATGGATGACGTCCTGCCCCAAGTGGAGGAGTTTAAGTATCTCAGGGTCTTGTTCACGAGTGAGGGAAAAGTTCAAAGTGAGTTGAAAAAGTGAAAAAGCATGAGGCTGTGGGGCACTACATCAGTCAAGGTTTTCTAAACAGGTAGATTTTAAATTACATTTATTGATTTAAGTGTTTATTGGAACAATTTGCATGGAGTTGAGTAAAATTGCAAATGTAATCTTTGAACTTTACAGTTTAATTTTTTTTTTGTCAGTCTAAAGATGTTTTGCAAGAACCAAGATCAGGAATGACATCATTTAATGTTTATGTTTCAATTCAGTGGATGTTTTTGTCACTACCATCGACATATATACTGGACAATTCATTTCCATAGACTCCAATAATAAGTTTTTGTGCTAAAATGGGAGGCGGCCACCACCGCCATTTTGACCGTGTCACAGGTTCCGTCAAGCCCAGACAATTCCACAAAAGGGAAGAGAGGTGGAGCTGAGGGTTAGGCTGCAAGGCTGGGATCAACTGACGACACCCGGTCGAACTAGCTACAAGCTAACCTGAAGCTAACCCAAAGCTAACGCGCAGGTGGGAGCTAAGCTAACGGACGTAGCAACCTAGCTACAACCGGAGTTAACTGTGCACTACACCAGAGCTTCTGAGTCAGAGATACGCCGGGCTGACCGCTTGGTAAAACCGGGTGGAACACAGAGGTCTCCCGAAAGCTGCTGAAAGCCGGCAGCCCGTGCAGCAGACAGAAGCCGTGATCAGACAGAGATGCGGGAAGGGGATAAGGGTGGAAAACATCGGTCTCCCGAGAGCTCCACAAGCCGATAGTCGGAACCCAGCTCCACCAACACGTTATATTTCAACCCATTTTCTAAAGTGCAGCATTATGTTAAGTGCACTGGGTTTTACCCTATTACATTTAAATGTCATGGCTAAACAGTACATGTTAAAATCTAAGCTCAGCTCAGCAGTGACCTAAAATACATAAATATAATTTTACTTACAGAAAAAAATGAAGTGGAGACTCCTTGGACGCTCTATTAGTGCAATTAATGCCACAGCAAGTCATTTTGTCCAACAATTGCACTAAAACTATCCAAAAAAGAATACACAAACACAGAGACTCAAAATCCCGGAGCAGTTTCCAAGCCAGACCGAGGCTCTACTGAGGCCTTTCCACTGAGCTAGCTCTGTGGTCACGTGGGTCTGAGGCGGCGGTCACGTGGGTCTGATGCTCATTAATTATACAGAATTTTAGGCTTTTAATACACTTAAACAGAAGAGTGAGAAAAAATCACCCCCCTCAGAGTTGTCATGAGTGTAAACTAGATAATTTAAACCAAAAACATGTTGTGGTACCAGGCTGTAAACATGTTTATTTCTGCTGTGAAATTGATATTTTTAACATGGGAGTCAATGAGGATTTGCTCGCTTCTGACACCAGCCTCCAGCTGAGGGTGGAACTGCAATTTTTGGTACTTCCGGGATTGCTTCAATTTTTGAGCCGCATTGTGGGCGCTTGGTCACTACTGCGCCCTCACTCTCTCCCTGAGAGCCACTGGTCACAGTGTCACTCACCGTGACACCAGGCCCGATCCCCGCCAGAGGAGAGGGTGCCGCGGGTTCCACCTCTGTCTCCGCTCCTGGTCCTGCTGCATTCTGTCGGTGGGGACAAGCTATACGCTTGTGACCCACATCTCCACACTCAAAACATTTAATCACACTACAACAAGCATACACCATGTAATACCCTTCCTCATGCTTCACTCTGAATGAGACGTCCAGCATTTGTGCTGCACAGTCTAAGTACATGAACACCTGTCTCCGCGAGGACTGGATATGTCTCAGTTTAACATCTTTACACCCCAGGCTCACTGTATGGAATCCACTCGTCATTCTCCCAAAACGCCTGAGCTCCCGCTCAAAGTTCAGTGTCAGGAACAAAAGGAGGAACTCTCGACTCGGTGATGTGGGTAGATGGTAGCGCAAATGGAGAAAACTAGGGCTGAGCCATATCATACCTTTCACGGTAATACCGGTACAATGGTGGGCAATGATAAGAAAATGAAATATCGCGATAGGATAGAATGGGTAAAATGCGCTTGCGCAGTGCCTTTGTTTTCATACGCTCATACGCACATGGCGGAAAAAGCATGGCGACGACGGAGAAGGGCGAAAGCGGCTCGTTGAATGAAACAGAATTTGTTTTTAAAAAAGGTGCTACTTCAGTGGTGTGGAACTGGTTCGGTTTCCGCCTGTCAGATACCCAAAAAAGCACAATTTTTTTGTAGAACATGCAAGTGGGCCGTCGTGGCGAAGGGAGGAAACACCACAAACTTATTTCATCATTTGAAGCAGAAGCACTTTTTGGAGTACAACAAAGCTGTTAAAGCACGCAAAGATGCGTCCCCTTCAACAAGTGCGGTGGTAAGACCAAAGAAGCTGGCTCAACAAACAATCGGCACAGCTATAAATAGCTGCACCCCGTATGACAAAAGTAGCAAACGATGGGGAGAACTAACTAATGCAGTAACGCATTGTTAAGCCAGGGATATGATTCCCATTCAGAGTGTGGAAAAGGAAGGTTTCACAAAGATGCTTAAAACGTTTGATTCACGCTACAAGCTGCCCACCAAGAAATACTTCTCTAAAGTCGCTTTGCCTGCTTTATATGAAGAGGTTCATACTGAGGTGTCAAATGCATTATCGTCTGTGGAGTTTTTGCATCCACCACGGACATGAGGCCAGCACGCGGTGAGCACTCCGCTATATTTGCGGTCGGAAGATCTTTTTTAACTGCAGTTCAAAGGTAACTCATGAGGTGAAAATACATAAAGCCAGGTAGCAGTTTTTCTTTAGGATTGAGAGGAGATGCAGGAAGATAATAGACAGCACAGAAAAATAGTCACATAAAAACAAGTTTGTTTTTATACCTGGTGGTTGCAACAAACAGACACCATTGAACATAATCAGAAGTGAGGAACAGAAAATGATATTATTCCTTCAATGTTTAGATCAGGAGGAACTCTTGAGGCTGCAGGCGCATCAGTGAGTTTGCGGCCGCTGCACAGGGGGAGGGGGAGAGGACTGAAGCAGGGGAACAGTTAAGATGCAAAAACTACCGTTGTTAAAAGAGATGCGTGTTAACTTAGAAAATGTGGGTGCAATTTTTATTACTTGTCCCTATTACCCTAAACCCCCCACCCCACCCCCTCACCCCCGTGCGTGTTCCGGCATCTGTTTTGCCTTTAGAGAACTTTGGTTTGACATCAGAATTTGCGTTCCGGGAATGTTTAATTTACAAATTAAGCACTGATTACACGCATGCAC